ATAATATTCATATATTTCGGAACATAGGAAATTCAGCTAACATATTGTCCAACTGATAATTTATGTTTTCATAAGATAGTATTTTGATTATGATGTATAGAAATTTACGCTAGAAAACAAAATACAATTCAGAGTACTTTTGAATGATGAAAGGAATTTGTGGTTCAAGATAGTCAGTCAGTCAGTCAGTAACAATGTAGAACTTCGTACGTATGTACATCAGTTCGAGTTGCCATACCACATTAGCACAGAGATGCAGTTGTCGATTCAAATCCCGTAGTGGTAGAGGTAGTAAGAGTATAAGCAGTAGTCGGAAAGACTAGGGATTGAAGATGTTATTCAAGGAGTATAATCCATTGAAATAAATTTGGAAGAAGAAAAAAGAAATGGACATGAAGAATTTAGAAGATTAGAATTTGGGAGAACACAAAGAGTGGATACACCTGCACCACTGCAAACGATTTTTAGCCATACCATTCAAGGTTTCTTACTATCAGTTTCTATCGTCTCGCGGATCCCAACTATGCAGTCTACACCCACTAACACGGCTCAGTCCACTTGTCAGTGACTCCATGGATTTGTGCCATGTTTTTGTCTGGTCGCCCCTACCTTTCTTCCAACCTACTCCTACACCATGAAACATCGCTCATCGAGGCAGTCAGTGGTTGTGGACACGTAGTAACACATGCCCCAGCCATTTCAAGTGTTGGAGTTTCACTATTTCATCAATTGGTTTGCCATCCTTACCTAGTACGCATTTCTTGACAATTGCGTTACTTACTCGGTGGTCCCAGAATATACAGGCAATGCTTCGAAGATACCTATGGTGGAATATTAGCAACTTGCGAATATCATATACTCTTGCCGGCCATGTTTCACTCCCATAGAGTAGGACGGAGCGAACTGCTGTGCAGTAAATCGGTCCTTTGTTTGGTAGACGGATATCTGGCCTTCGCCATAAATGACGTAAGTTGGTGACAGCTAGTTGAGCCTTCATTATTTGTGCAGAGATTTCGTCACACACCAAACCATAAAGGCTGGTGAAACTCCCAAGATAAATGAAGCGGTCGACAGATTCAACTACTTCACTCCCTATGATTAGTTCAGATTTGGATGCAACCCAATCCTGAAGCAAGATTTTGCGTTTCGACGGAAAAATTCTAGGCTTAAACCCTCAGTCTTGAAACTGACCATAATCTGCTAAGACTGTATTTTATAAATAAACTAATCAGATAGCGCATCATTTATTTTTAAGTTAAATTCACTCGTCTCTATGGCTACATAGCGCTTTTGTATAATCATTGATGCAAATCTGTGTTGAGAACGCTAACCCTAAGTAGGAACAACGTGAGGATTTTTAAAAATATGTTTAGGTCTTTAGGATATGAACAGTTCGAATTTACACATCATTGTTTTTACAATTTATATACCTGTAGAAGAATTTAATAAATTTATCAAATATTCAAGGATGTATTTACGCTTTTTGTAATACCAATGTTTACATTTCAATAAACCATCCATCTACTATGAATGTTTTATAATTGTCTAAGAACTGGCTGAAAATGTGTTGTGGTTTTTCTGAGCTCGTACTTATAATGTACTCTCGCCAAAAAATTAATACCGCTATCTGTATTTTGGATAACTGGTCGGTATAATTTAGTTTTACTGAAGAACGAAAAACGAAACGCTATTTTAAAACAGTTTAAAAGTTATCTATTCCCAGCAATGTATTCAGATCCAATCTCTGACAGAGGTTTGGAAGTGTTTGAAAATTGTCTTTTACCTTTCCTCAATCAAAGTTATCCACAGCTTGAAGGGTTTTTAGCAAAACTTTCTAGTAATTTTTATTGAAGGGTCACTGATACTTAAATGAAAGACTCAGTAGACGCCCAACTTCATGATCAACAGGCTGGATTCTGTAAGGATCGGTGGTGCACAGACCGAATTGCGACACTACGGATCATCGTCGAATAATCAGTGGAGTGACACTCGTCATTATACAATACTGCATTTACCAGACTAGTCAATTCTTACAGAAAATTTTAAACTACTTCGTAGTGTATCATGTAACAATGTAATGAAAAACAGTTTTGTAGATCACTCATCTACCAATGAATTTACTACCTGACTATCAAGCGTAATTCTGTTCCGACCACATTATCAGAAGTAACAGTGGAAAATCTGTCACTGATTTAAATTTTATCAGTTGACGGAACTAAGTGGTTAAACTTTTTGTCTAGCAGGAATTTTTCCTACGAATTTTCTCATGAGACAGGCAACATAAACGGACAATTAGATGACAAACAGGTTGTGAGTGTATGTTGGCACTGGAATCTACAAAGGTAGATTTGATACTACAGAAATATGGAACGTAAAATGATCTAACTTCAAAAAGAGAATTTCTATTTGTTTTGTCGTAGTATGATCAAGTTACTTATTATAGAAGCAGATAACTGTTATGTCCGCTAATTAATTAATTAGCTTTACATCGTCTTTAGAACTAGTGATCTACTTTACCTACGAGTACTATCTCAAAACCTACTAGTCCTTAAGCTGCCTTCAACCAAGTGTCCAATCTGAAGACGAATATGACAAACTACATTTTGTTCATTTTCATGTTTACCAAATAAATCAGAGGCTGACAAGCAAGCGAGTGAGAGAAGACAAACCAACTGGAACACTACTCGATTTATTCTCACTTCCGATCTGGTTCCTGATTTCAGATCAGTGTAAAAAGATACATGAATAAATAGATGACCAACCCGACCACAACATACAATAATTAGGAAAATACAATTATGTCCAAAACTGGTAATTATCGTAGAAAAGAGTACAAAATAATACGTTTAAATTACAATAGCTTTGGAACAAAAAGGCCTATGGCAGTGAATCTTACATCAAACGAAAACTTATGATCTGTAGAATAGACTACGGACAAAAATAAATGTTATTGTTTTATAAGCTTTGAATTAACTGAAATAACGTCCTGAAAATTAGCTTCCGTAGTTTGTCAAGGCTTCTTGTTTCTCTGTTCACATCAGTAGGAAGCCAATTTTATTGCTAACCTTTAAACATATGTTTTTTTTCTTTGTTTTCAACTATAAGACCATTCATTCACACTGACCTTATCTAAGTATCACTTAAACTATCTAATATTATTCATAATAATCTTATTTGGTAATTACAGTAAAATGTTGCTCAATCTGAAGATTTAAAAGTCATACTTGAAACTTAAGTAATTTTCTAAGTGGAATATGATCAATTAGATTCAGATGAAATTTTGCTTCGCAATAAAGAAGTAGAATGAATAATAAATTAAAACCAAATATTAAATATATTTTTCAGTAAAAGAAAAGTGAAGCTATTCCATCTATCAAGATAAGTGAATAAATAAACTACACTTAAATGACTAAATAAAAATACTTTACAGTCAAGGTACTTTAACTTTGAACACGAACCAATTTAAAACATAACTATATATACAGAGTCATCAATAATATCTCTTGACTGATGAGTCCCCATTGACATATTCATAACTTGAAATGATGGTTTGGATAGTGATATTAGGTCACAGGACTTCTTAAGTATAGTTGATTGGTGTCTGCCAGTGGAATCTAAGAAACCAGTTCCGTCCTATAAGTGACTCATCAGATAGGTCCATCTGTTTTTCAGTGTCAATGTTTATATCGGAATACAAATGAAGACTGGTCAAAATTCAGTCATTAATATCAACAGCGAATAAATCGAAACCCTCTTAATAATAATGTTAACAATTTATGTCGTGATTTATCTACAATCGCCTACGATCTTCGCTCATTTCCATCTGCAAGAATTCGTTCAAATAACACCATCTCATTACAATCAAATATACAAAATTTATACACATCATATTTGATGACTCAATTATGACGAAGAAAAGTAGACTGAACAAGAATTCTGAATCACATTGATTCTCACTGTTATTCATATACGTTCTGACTCGTTCATACCTGTGTCTACATGAATCTTATGTTTCTGTCTAATACACTCTAGTTTATTTCAAATTGTGTCTAACTAATTCCACTACATAATGTCAATTGAAGAGCGCCGTTAGAACTTATGAAACAGCCACGTACTGCCATTATGAGGTGAAAGATTCTCATTGCCATAGATATCGGAAGCCGTATATTTAATCCACATGTTGGAGAAATGGCCGTAGAACACCTACCGGTTTCTCACAGCCGAGTAGACGAACGAGGTAATTTGATTAGTGTTGTTATAATTTTTCCTAAAGGATTTTCATGGACACTCAAGGTCCTTCCTTTATATTTTGTAAGTTACCAACTATCAAAATAACGTCAATATGGATGCAACGTTAGGCAATGACGAGGAAGAAATTGTCTCGATTAACTCAGAGGAGTTCACTGAATGAGATGACGACAATGACGAAAACGCATCAGTATTTTGCGATTGTTTCGCTATATGTGTGTCTTTATTACTAGATCTCAATAACAAATCATTTGACGTAATAGGGCGAAATCTACTATGAGCTACATCTATCACACCGCGACTAACAATGATACATCCACCTACATACCGTAAACTTCAATTTACAATTTCTCTACTTCATATTCAACAAACCAGATCAATCACGATAAAGTAGAATTTTGTCCAAGTGGATGACTTTGTTAACTTTCTTCTCAATACAACTAACGTTCAGATTGATGGAATGAACGAACACCATGTAACAGTCAAGACATTTACAATTCACAGTATATTCGATTTCTGTCAAGCAATTTAATAACATAATCAACAGCATACTACTATATTACATCCACACTCCCAATCACTATCTACACAAAATCAATGGTATAGTACAAACTACAAATCGGATGATTTACAGAAACTCCCTCTCCCACTTGATGACAACACAAACTCACTATGATTGGTTCATTTAAAACTCAATATTTTCAAATCTGACTCTGTCTAACCACGCACAATAAATAGAAATGAAGACAAGTGAACAAACATAGAAATTCTCATATTCATCATTCTTGTTCTACTGCATCATCAAAAGTACACAATTACAAGGGTACATCACATTGAAACATCACACAAATTGTCAATATCTAGGATAATTTAATGTTGAGAAACAGTAAAATAAATCCAGAATATGAGAAAGTCAGTAAGAACAAATGAACCATTGATGCAAATATGAAATCTTCAGATCTGTAGTACATTGCTCTTCCTCCACAAAATATTTGAGCTTCAATTAAACTAGCCTAAAATCACAATAACAATGTACAAATTGAAATTCACAACATTCAATGCTGATTAGTTGTTTATCTAATATCAAATGATTCTCAATTATAATTCATTAACTGACTGACTTATTTGCAAGTGAAATAATACCATTACATAATTTGATGAGTGTTAAAGAGATGATGCAATCACTATCTGAATATCTCTTCCTATACTTCCTACAGTAGTATTTGTCAATTCACCTCATTTACAACAGATTTGTTCAAGAAGTTCAATATTAGTTAGTATGTTACTTAACCACAAACGGAAACATCAGGTTTCGAAATTCCTGAGTCTACCTAACGAATACGCAACAGTCAATGATTAATTCCACTATCTGAACATCTACATCTACAAACGTTTGTTGAAATTTCCTATAGAAATAATTATGGCACATTGTTCAGTGAAACAGATTCACAATGTATATTGACACATAACACATTGTTGTGTGGATAGCTCACTGAAGTGTTATGGTTTAATCTTAACCTATTCCATGCATCGATTTGTATTGAAGGAGGAAGGTGAATAGACAGTAATCTCATTTCATTCAAACTACTATTCACTCACCGGAATTATGATGGCTAAAACGAGTAGACCGATTGCCCACGTCACCTGAAATGTAAAGTTAAATTATTTACCATTGGGAATATCATCTATTCATCTGTCCGTTTCCTTCAATCCACCACTCAATCACATGTGACATCAAGTTAATTTTTGTGACACCTAATCCAATCAATCTCGTACACGTTGTATTAGTGAGAGAGATAGGAAGAAAATTGAAAATGTGAGTGTTCACAAATGAAAAATCTGAATGAAAAGTGAGACTGAGCGCAGTGCTATATGGTAACCAGTGTGAACGCGAGAGTCAACCAAACTGTTTTCATATTTGAGTTAGTTTAAACCTTCTTTTCACATGATTAAATAATGAATCTGTCTTTGATGACCCTTTATTCCAACATTGATGTCATATAGACATGAACTAACAATGTTGAATATGTTGTTCTCTTTGAAGACTGGTAGAATTTAGTTCATAATTATTAATAATTATCAACGGTGAATTAAGATCTGAACTCCTGTACTCTCTTTAATACAGGTTTACCAGATTTCAAATAAATATGCAATTTCTATGTGAACCACTATTATTTTAACTCTGATGGCTGAAACTCATTTGTTCATTGACATTAACCAGTGAATAAAATGTTGCATAGTTGATGTACATGTTAACTCCGACAACCGCCCAAACACAATGAATTTAGTAATTAAATTATCAATATTATTCTGTTACTCTTTTTCAAAGAAGCGTGTTTTCCACGTATAAATTTACCTGTGAATAAACAATATTGAAATAAATGCTCCTATTTACTATCTTGAATTCAACAATCTCATTTTCACATTTATACTGATTAAACGCAACATTTCAAATATTATCTAAACATGAATGATACACAAGAAATCCTAGGCACTGTATCATATGCAAATGAATGACGATCAACTTCAGTGATTGATCAAACTAAGTAAAATGGGGTTTATCGCAGCTACGCTGTTGATCACATAGTAGATCATGTATAAGAGTGAATGTGTTGGCGTTTAATGTGAATTCAAAGCATATTAAAAATACCATTGCATATGTAACATTGGTTTAGAATGTGTAACTAAATCACAATCATCATACAATATACTAAAATATAAACAAATTAAAACTCACCACAGTAATACCATAGATCCATGGGATCACCAGAACAAAAATGATAAGAATGACAATAATGACATAAATCAAAAACGACCAAAAATAACTGACCAAATCACGTTTAATGTTTATTCCAATCATAAACAATAACACTGATAGAATGATGGCCAAAATCCAACTGATAAATATGAACATTCCCTGTGCGTGAATTGAAAGATAGGTTATCACACCAGCGAAGCTGAAGCTCTTGAAATGAAGGGAAAAAGAAGATTGTTCAAAGGGCATATATTTTGCATGGAACTATATATATGAACATACAGCTTGAGTAAATGATTTTGTCGAAAAGAAAATTTTTTTCTCTGAATTATCTCTTTCTTACGCAATGACACAATGGATTATTTTAATTAACTTTTATATCAACGAAACAACCTATTAAATTTTGTTTTTATTTGACAGAACATTTGTGCCAAATTACCTTAAAAGGAGAGAAATACATTTATGTAATAATTAATTAGATGGTAGAACATGCTGAAATTGATTAGGCAATGAGTGATTGCATATAAATCGCATATCATCGAAATAACTCGATAAAACACATGGAATCTGTACTGAATAAAATTCAGAGTACATGCACATAATCACTGAACATTCAAAACATCTCGAGAAATCATCAGAATTATAGATCAACATCCTTCTCATGTAACCATAATTCATGATCAGTGACGACTCTATCAAGTAGGTCAGATGTTGGAGTGAAACGTTTATAGTTGATAAAGCATTCATAAATCTTGCTCGTATGAACAATTTTCTGATAGTCTCTGAACACACATTTCACCATTAGAAACAATGTTCTCGACTCATGTATACAGAGAATTTTTCCGTATCCACCTCGTCAGTCATTGTCTCGAGATTAAATCAGTGAACATGTAACACATAAATCACATACGATGTTTGGTGAATTGGTGATCAAAGATAATACATGTTTGTCCATATCTAGCAATATCAATAACTCATTTTGCACATCCACAGAATAGTCTCATTTACATAACGACTAACATGCTGATATGATATCGTATTGAGATACATCAGTATTGAATTAAGTTTATATTCCTTTTGGCAAACGTTTTATACACATTCGTCCATTGCTAACAAAAACAACTTACGAGTAGTACGTAAAGGAAATCCGTGAGGTATTTCAAATGTGTGAGTCTCTGAATAAAGAAAATTGCAATGGTTGCACCAATCGAAATGAAACTGTAATGTAAATTATAAAGTGTCAAAATCAATTCAATAACAAAAATAGATGCAATTCGGAAAATGTAGTTGGGAAAATAATGCTATAAATGATGTAAGGCGAATCGTATAAATCTTGATAAAACGTCACATTCTTGGGATGTGGCCTCCTAATATAACCGTCTGCTTCGATTCGAGCAATTGTGCAGTATCATAGCCCACCGACAAATCAAGTAAAATGTGTGGCACATATCTATTCGGTATCCTTTTATTTCAATATTTATGTGTTTAAATAAAATGAAGAAGCTTACTACTAAATGCACTTTGAATATTTGATGATGAATTCTCATTTTTTATATACTTACATTAAAACAAAACCAATCCAGTTATGTTGAAAAAGATACCCAAAGATTTCATCACTAAAACATAAAACATCAGGATTATTAGTAAGTGACATACATTGCGAACACTAATGCTGTCATCAACATTGATAGAAACACTTGAAGGATATTGGTTAAAAACACCTACATTCTCAAATGAATATTTTCAACTGATTTCTACTTTCAATATTAATCGAGTGCGTACTGGATCAACCATTCCAGATAACGTGGAATCGTCACAGATTACCACTTGATTATTATATTTGATTCCATCATTGTATGTATGTGATCCTGATAAGAGAGAATGAGATATAGGATTACTACTAAGCAATTGATTATATAAAGCAATCTGACTTGACTGGCACTGTTATGATTAGTGAATATTGTGAATAAAAGTGTTAATGAAACATTCATCATGTTTGACCAAAGCAAAGACAATTTGCGTGGCAGAGATAAAATGAATCTACTATAGTTTGGTGTTTCTCAACAGTTGCTTCCATTATCAGCACCATAATATTAATCAATAAAAATCGGTCTACATACTTTATATTGGAAGAGTTCTCCACAGTGGGAATTAATGAAAAGGTTGAGAAGTATGAGAGAACGATATATTTGATATATTTATACATGAAATCAATTGAACATTTATTAGTTGAATATCTGAACATTCTAGGAGTTTATTCAACAGAATCATGTCGAAATAGGAGAATAGTCGACTCATCAAGTCACATTTATGATTGTATATCTGGTAGCAATAAATAGTATATCAAATTGTGTTATGTAACTCAATATTCACGATTATTTCTGTTTCACATTGCGATCTCCTATCAAACAACTAAAACCAATGGCTAGGGTATAATTAATACACGATCTTCGAGCGACATTAAAGTGTCCTTTACAAACGTCAACCAATTATCGTAAAGTGATTATATCATTCAATTAGTTTAACTTTATTATTCAAAACAATGTTATTCAAAAATCTATTAATGTAAATACAAACCTTCATTCGGATGTTTGTGCAACATTAGTTGTGTTCACAAGCAGTGCTCGTTAAAGCTGATCAACTCAACTGACGTTATTTTATAATATTGATGCAAATGAAAACGATCAGTGACCATTAAATACAGTATAAAGAATAATACGACTTTTGATCAGAACAAAGTTCAAATCAGGTGGTGCATACTAGCCTGATCCACTTAACAATTATATAGTTCAATAAATGAGACAGTGATTATCGATATGAGAGAACATCCAATTAACATTCTACACGATATAAATTGGTTAGATGTTGAATATCAAACAGATTACGATTGACGTACTGAGAATGATTTGGTTATACATCTCAGTTGCGAATGTTCAACTTGAAATACACACAGTAATCCACACATGAGTGCTAACTGAACAGACCCGTTCTGTATGATCTTCAAGTTACTGAATATATTAATCGTGTTATTTATCAAAAGATTCAAAGGAATATCATTTTCAAACGAGTTTACTTTTATGGATGGGAAAACGTTTATAAAATGATGATATTTTCACGAAACTATGTGCACATATTAGAGGCTTCAGTTCACTCTTATCAAGCTACATATTTGCGCAGTTAAATACGTCACAAATACGTGCACTGTGATGTATGATGTTTCAAGATAATCCATTCAACTGATGACCACACAAGCTATCCAAATTCAAAACCGTGTGAATATATTTAGATAGAGAGAGAAGAATCCACATATAAGTGACTCCAAAATATATTAGAGTACATAGTTTATGCGAAATCTCTCGACTTGTTTATCTACTGAATAAAGTTCACTCCACTAACTGTATCCTAAACAGTCACATATTTAAATAAAGAAAGATGATTGGGTAACTCCTTTGAGTAGCATTTCATACAAGTTCAATCCCGTCTTACTATACTGAAGAAAGACAGTGACAGATAGTACTACTGTTATTCCACTGAAGTGATTTTCATGCAACTCACCATCTACCACTCGAAATCCTTATATAATCTTAAAGCGCATTAATCCGCTTACTTAAACAGTTAGATTTCACCGTTTGCAAATTTCAAACGGTTTTTTGTTTGCAGGTTGTCTATTGCCGGTTTATTCTAGAAGTAATTACCAACGGTTTCATATGAACGAGTCTCATATCCAATGCATAGAGATTTACTGAAAACGCATTGCCTCCCAGATAACCTAATTTTTCTAGACACCTCGCCTTATAATCAACCATGACACGTTATTTGAATACGCTTGTCAGTAAATCTCTTCAGGGGATCTACCAGAAAAAGTGTTAGGCAATACTTGCATGTTCTTAACCATAGCCCAATGAAGTTACGTATAGACGTAATCAATAATTAACATGCTAACAAGAATACTACAGAGTATTTATGCCACTTGACCTATACTTTAAAAATTCAAAGTCAATTTTCTAGATAGAAAGATGATCGGCTTCTCTATTGATCATTTCAACATCATTGAGTATTTATGGTTGTGAAGCATTTCAAGCTTACACATGTGGTGAAACTGTAATTTATAGATGAACCAATGAGATTTAGGATGAGACGTGTTGTATTTTGACACGAAGCTCATTCATCCATTTGGCAAAATGGAGTTCTTGCATCTTGCTGATGTCAGTTCGTGATGAAAACCCAAATCCAGTTCCTAATCTTAACGATCAACTGTAAATCGAAATTCTAACACTTCACACTGGTTTATAGAACACATCTCTCACTAGTCAATAGTTGAACATTCGCAAGGTCACTTCACCATCGCTCGATGTTCGTCCATAAATAAAATCTCACGACATAAACTTCACTTTAATTTTCTGATTATGTTAGCTGAAATGTTTCTGTCATACAATTAGATATGCAAAGTTTTTTCTCAAAGCAATGATTCATTATGATAATTATTCCTACTCTAACTTGTTTACAAAGTGAATATTTATGTGCTTGGCTCTGTTGCATGACTTTTGAGTGAGTTCTAGTGAGATCAGCCGGTTACTCAAAGTGAACTGGGTAAAATGTGAATTGAATTTGAGATCGAATGTTTGAAATCTAGATGTTGATCAACAAGCAAACTGCTCTATAATATTCGTGAAACCGTATGACATTTAAATATAGTCGACGAAATGCCCTGTTTAATGTAGGCTTTGTGTTAATTCGTGCTTGTTAAATAGACGTACTTGGAATATTGCGACAACCGAAGCTACCCATGAGATTTGAAACCACATCATCGTGCCAACTGACGTGAAATCTAAGTTCAAAATTTTCTCTGATCATCTTCTATTAATTAGCACACCAACACAGTGCACAAAATGTCTAGCTGTTTAGACTGTTGGCCAAATTGTAATGTGATATATAAAATTTAATCAGTACTATAAAATGACTAGACAAATGTGGTATTGACCACCATAGAATAGTTAACCAATTAAAATCATCAAAGTTGAGTATAACAACAGTAGTAGTAAAATGTTTAGTTGATTTCAATCTTAGTTTTCCAATCAATGAAGTTGGACATTCAAATGACAATGAAAAATTCTCATTTTATCTGTCAAACTTGAATAAAATAAAAACATATAAGATGGTTCATTCATAGTTACGTAAGTAGGTGTTATCAAATACACTGAATTTTTAATTAATGTTTGGCAAGACGTTTCATAACTAATGAGTCACTATGTTGTTTATTCTTATGCTTATCGACACTATATATATGCCATGAATTATACATGATTATATCAAAAATCTTGAATATCAAATGATCCTTAATTCACTTGGTATTATTTGGGTTGTATCCTCCTATTGAGTTTTTTAAGACTGTAATTGATCAGTCTGTTATTGGCATACGTGTATACTGTGCGTATGCCTCGATATTACCTTAATTCACAAGCTATTTGTAAGCAATGATGGATAGTGGCTAGCAGTGGAATCCAGTTTGACGCGCGTTTCGTCCTACTTGGGACTCAGTATGAGAATGTTGATTAAATGATTGTAAATCTTGGGAAACTTGAAAGTCACATAAAATTTTAAAGAAACTTAAGTTCCATTAAATTTTCATCTATTACTTCTTGACATAATGAGTGTTTGTGTTGAAAAGCAAATGAAGGAAATAAGAACTACATCGTTGTTTCAATATTAATAATGGTCGGTAATATAGATTAGTTTTACTCATTCCTTTATTCTTCATTTAGGGATAATACATACAGCAATTAGAGACTTTGTAAATTTATATAAAGGAACATGTTGTCTTTGAAAGTTCAAATAGAATATACTCTAACTTATGAAATTATAATATTCAAATGTATCTTTTTATTATCACTGAGTCGACATTCGAATATGGATCTAAATTGAAGAACAACAAGAGAATATTCATACGTTGGTTAAGTTTTTCTTCTAAATAGTGTGAACATCAGTAAAGAATCACAAATTTGTTTAAGTACTGCAATGTATCACTTTCTTTTATTATAAATAACTCTATAGATCTGTAAGGATTAGAAAACAGTTAACAGATCAGGAGGAGATAATAAAATCACATCCTAAGTACAAACGTGTGTAAGAATTGAACGTTAATTTATTTAGAACTTCTATAATGTTAAAATTGAGAATAATTAATGTTGACAGATATGAAACTTTATCACATTTATGTATAACACGTTTGTATTATGCGACTGAATTATACATAAGCTCGTTTAGTAATATATAGTATAGATCATTTTATATTGAACTTCACACAACTTATCTAGTAATCACTAGTCAACAGGTCAATAAATCTGTGAACTATTCAACTGGAGAGATGGATAAGTGACTTTGTATAGGTACATGGATTTGACTTTAGATAAAATACTTAATCACTCTCTACAGCTGTCTCTTTCACCCTACAAGCGATAACTATAAACATATATGACACAAATTACGATCATGGTTTTTCTGATCAACATTTTTTTTATGAGTTGAGATTGCTAACCTCGTGTCTAAGCCTTTCCCTTCACTCGAGATCCGAACCAAGAGTGACTGTAAAGTGGCTTCACGAATAGTAAAACTAGTATCATAATACTACTCAATTAAGTAACCGTAATATGTATATTCAGTTAGTTATTCATAACAAATCAGAAAAACATTAGTTTATCAAAATAACACTTTATTTAATTCTATTTCAAAATGAAATAATAATGAACAGACTGTTTGGTATTTATATGAATGTAAATGTGATATATTAATAGTATAATGTCTTGGCATTAATTAACCATCACTGATTTAATAAGAATCATTGTTTTCATATTGTTTTTGATAGATGATCAATAAGATCTGAGATCATGTCTTTTTTTTTTCAATTCTCTATTAAAATACTTTTAATGAAGAAGAAATCTCAGCCAATAAGTTTAATGTAAATCCAACATTTTCGCTGAACAATCTGATCCCAACATTTTCAAAGGAATACACTGCATGTTGAAAATAAAATGGTCACTTTGATTAAAACATCTTGAAAGTGTATTATCATGTTGAAAAAAAAAGTAATAATTTGCCCTTTTATCATTATTTTTATTGTTTTATTTTTCATTCATAGTTGAATTGAACAAATGATTAGATATCATAGAAACATTTTTATATTGATCATAATTACTTTTCGTTTGTTTTTTTGTGGTATTTCTCATAAATACATTTAGTTGCTAAGGCGGAAAACGTATTCTTTTTAATCCTCCCCCTCCTCCTCCTCATCATCATCATGATTATCACTGTTCATTTGAATTTGTAATTTTCATAAAATGTTTTAATTGTTTCAATGTATTCTCTGATTCCATTTGATGTTGTATAAATGTAGTTAAAAAATTATATTCTATAATTGATTTTATATCTCTTTGTTTATTATCATGATGAATATTATGCAACCAATTGATTATCATAAATTGATTAAGATCAATACGTTGATGTATATCGATTTGTAATAACATATTAATGATTTGATATATTGATTTATCAATATTATATAATAATAATGAATGATTTAATTGTATAGAATTGGTTTTGATATCATTCATAAATGTATTCAATTCTTTATATTGATCAATAAATGGTAATTTCCCAGTCAATAATAAATACATAATAACACCAATAGACCATGTATCTAATTCCATTGATTTTTTCTTCCATAATTCTTTCATCATATAACATATATTGTCTTTTTGAATTATATTTATATCATCCATGGTTACTTTAACATGTATCATATATTCTGGTGACCAATATATAAATAATTTTGTATCATTATGATTACACAATATATTGATTTCTGTTAATACACTAAAATCTAATACTAAGGATAATGATTTAGGATGAAATGTTTTAAAGAATATATTATATGGTTTAATGTTACCATGGTAAATATGGTTACTATGTAAATAATTAACAGCTTTACATAAATATTTTATAATATAATATAGATCTTCAATAGTGAATGTGAATCTTTGTTGAAACCATTCAAATAAATTACCGAATGGATAATAATTTGTTAATATAGTGAAATGATTATAATCTATGTCAATTTCATATGGTATAATAAGATGATTATTATTATTTAATAATAATAATTTAGATTCATGAAAACGTTGTAATAATTTGCAATGAAATATATTTCGAAAAATGTTTCTCCATAATTTTGTTATTGGCCATTGATTTAAATTAAATTGTTTACATATAATTTGTTTATTGAATGGTAGAATAATACCATAACGATATGAATTAAATTCATTTAATTGTATAGAACTAAAGGCAATTTTCAATGTCATTTTTTCCATTCTTTTTCTGGTTACTATGCAGAATGTTTGTTGATAAGGTATGGAATGAATGAAGAAGAGAAAAGATCTTTTATTTTTGTATCTATTATGAAGTTATATAACTCATATATATATACACACATTATAATGAGTTGTGATTAGTTCAATGTGACTTGAATTATTTTTAAAACAAACATTCCTGTATGACACATCAAATGACCTACTTAGTAATAATTTTTGTGAATATAGCGTGATAATAAAACTTTACTATTTTGTAATGTATATCAATGCATGAGTACCTTGTATGTAGTGTGGATAGGTCTGCAAATCAACAAAAGCGGAAACGTCTATATCTATATATTGTTAGTAATACATTAATCAAATGACAGTTGTATGATTATATCATGAGAGAGAGAGAGAGTTATATAGAAATCTATTCATTAAGGTAACATTTGATTGTGTTAATTATCCAACACTAATATACAACCAATTGATTACTAAATAAAACTGTATTTTTGTTTTTCTTTATAAATAAATTTATATTACTAGATTAGGAGGCTAATTAGTTTGAGTAATAGACAAATACAAACAATTAGAGTTTTGATCAAAATCTAAGGAGAATAAATAACACAATAAAAATTAATAATGTTATATTAGATGCCGGTTCAGTAGTTTAGTTGGTTATGCGCCTAGCTCGAGACTGATAGTTCCCGAGTACGAATCTTATGGAGTGCGGGATCATGGATGCTCATTGCTGAGGAATCCCACACTAGGACGAAACGGCCGTCCAGTGTTTCCAGGTTTTTCATGGTGGTCTAGCTTCAATTGACTCATGATTTCAATCAGCGAAATGTTATGATAGACAATAAAATATTTCGAATTTTACATCATAAAATAGTTTTAGTTAGACAATGAATAAAAAACAAACAATGTAACAGATAGTCGTTTCATTCTAAGATAGGACTTCTAAACAGTGCTCATCCATCTGAGGTAATAGATTCAGACAATGGAAAGACATCATACTAGAACTAAACAATTGTCCATCACTACACATAGTTTTTCGTCGTTATCTAACATCAAAATGTATCACATTTTATGTTTGCATATCAATTTCTTCGCAACAAATCAATATATGTAGCGTCGGTAAGTATGAGAATAAAAAACATAGTTACTCATTAGTTATTAAATATCTTGCCAAGCATTAATTAACAATTCAATGTATTTGATAACATCTACTTATGTAACTGTAAATGAACCTGCTTATATATTTGTATTCTATCCAACTTTTCTAAGTAGAAATTGAAATTGTTGACTCCCAGTTCAAAATCTAACTTCACTGATTGGAAAACTAGGATTGATAGAATTTTCCAATAATTCATTTTAAGCATTAAATAAACAATTTACAATATTATTACCACTGTTGTTATGCTCAACTTTGTCGATTGTAGTTAACCAAACACTCACTGTTGGCCAATGCGACATTTCTCTAATTCTTATACAGGATTTGGTTATCCCTCATTAATATCAAAAGTTTACAGATTGTAATGGTTGAAATAGATATGAAGTATAAATTACGACATTACACTAAAGAACTATGAGAAGAATGTAACCGATAATTGATTAGCTGAATTCCAATGTGTTAATACAGGAGCTCCTTCAAGTGTATACATAATAAATTTTATAAATAATAACATTTTAGCTAATACAACTAAATAATTAAAGTTAGGTTAGGGTGGGAAGATATTTGAGTGACGCTGAAGTGATTTTGCAAATGTTCACCTACTGACAAGTGCGAGATATGCGTTATAAACTAGTTAAAATGGTTGTTGGATGAATTCAACAAACAAACTTGCACCTAGGTATCGTTCTAATTGACACTCGTCAGCAAAGTGTAAATGTAATCTTGAGAAAACTGATGTTCCCTAACGGATTTCATCCCGTGTCACCCAGCTTCATATTTAGCTACATGAGCATAGACTAACTGTGTCCATGACTCACCCAGAACAGTGTCCTCATTCCAACTTGTTCGATAGGATTCGATCTGCATTATGAACGACCTGATATACGTGAAATTGATCACCACTCAGTGATCAATCAATTGTTATAAACCAGTGTGAGGAATTAGAATTATGATTTACAGTTGATGGTTCAACTCAGGAATTAGATTGAGGATTTTCATCATGAACTGACATCAGCAAAATGCAAGAACTCCATTTTGCCAAATGGATGAATGAGCTTCGTGTCAAAATACAACACGTCTCATCCTAAATCTCATTGGTTCATCTATAAATTACAGTTTCACCACATGTGTAAGCTTGAAATGCTTCACAACCATAAATACTCAATAATGTTGAAATGATCAATAGAGAAGCCGATCATCTTTCTATCTAGAAAATTGACTTTGAATTTTTAAAGTATAGGTCAAGTGGCATAAACACTGTGCAGTATTCTCGTTATCGTGATAATTGTTGATTACGTTCATACGCAACTTCATCGGACGATGGTTTTAGCATGAGATAAACAAGCAAACAAACAAAACAATTTCTTGAACATTTTGTTTATAATTAGTTAATTCATTAATTCAGTGTCATCTTCAAGAATTCCAGATCAATAAAAGCAATGCAGAATATGGAATTGATAAATCGTTTGTTGTCGTTTCAGTGGGTAACGCGTTGTGGTATTGTGTAACTTGGCTTTACCTTTTGTAAGCACTAACACGATCGATAATATGACTATTTCCGATGAACTTTGGTTCATTTATTCACACGAATTCATTTGATTTTGTATAGTTCTTTCTAAAATCAATTTACACTATGAAGTGGAATTAGTTAGACACAATTTGAAATAAACTAGAGTGTATTAGACAGAAACATAAGATTCATGTAGACACAGGTATGAACGAGTCAGAACGTATATGAATAACAGTGAGAATCAATGTGATTCAGAATTCTTGTTCAGTCTACTTTTCTTCGTCATAATTGAGTCATCAAATATGATGTGTATAAATTTTGTATATTTGATTGTAACGAGATGGTGTTATTTGAACGAATTCTTGCAGATGGAAATGAGCGAAGATCGTAGGCGATTGTAGATAAATCACGACATAAATTGTTAACATTATTATTAAGAGGGTTTCGATTTATTCGCTGTTGATATTAATGACTGAATTTTGACCAGTCTTCATTTGTATTCCGATATAAACATTGACACTGAAAAACAGATGGACCTATCTGATGAGTCACAAATAGGACGGAACTGGTTTCTTAGATTCCACTGGCAGACATCAAACAACTATACTAAAACTGTCTTGTGATCTAATATCACTATCCAGAAAATCATTTCAGGGTACAAATATGCCATTAGGGACTGATCAATCAGAATCATTAACCCGAAGTACGGGTGGGTTCAAACAATTGTGTCAACGTCTGGTAAACACAGCTTCCGTTGTACAAGCTGGTGGATATCTGGACTCAGTAAATCAGTGGATAATGCAAAGCGCTTTCGAGAAGCAGTTACTGGGTCAATGTCTGTCTTCGTGAGCTGAATTCTGAAGGACGAGTTCAAATTATTAACGTTAGTTTTATCTGCGAAGGACGAACCGAACAATGTTCATTTGCAAAACGCTATTTAAACTACATGTATATTATACGTAGTTTTATATGTTAAGGCAATAGCATATCTATTTATAAGGAAATCACTAATAGGTATACTTGGATTTAAAGTAAATGAAAACTGCAAGTGAACAGGTTTTCGCTGTTTACATCGTGTTTACGAATGTTGCTTGCCTAAACATGTCAAAAGTACCAACCACCTAATTAACGGCTAAATTATTTTCACTCAAACATCAGGGATTATTGATGACTTTGCAAATCGATATCGGTTGTGTCCAAATGTGTATTTTATTGGGAATATGTAACCTCTCTTAGAAATCACAAATGATGTGGGAAGTAATGAATAAGCAAATTTTCTTAGATTTAGGTAATTTAATTCCCACAGATCAGGTCTTCGACAATGATGAGTGCACTGATCAGTGTTTATTCCTCATCAATCAGAATAAGTCGGCTTGCTGTTTTGTCGTTTGTAATTATGAAGAGTTCACAAATGTAATTTATTAATGCATCAAAATCTTCAATTAATTGCTTTTTTAGCTTCCGTAACTATTGTGTTTTGTTGAATAGACAGATTGGCATTTTCAGTAAACAGACATCCACCCACTGTGAGAATTTTTCATATGAAACTTCTAGAACATTCATTTGAGTCTACCGATCAATAACACGATTAATGTATTCAGTAACTTGAAGATCATACAGAACTGGTCTGTTCAGTTAGCACTCATGTGTGGATTACTGTGTGTATTTCAAGTTGAACATTCGCAACTGAGATGTATAACCAAATCATTCTCAGTACATCAATCGTAATCTGTTTGATATTCAACATCTAACCAATTTATATCGTGTAGAATGTTAATTGGATGTTCTCTCATATCGATAATCACTGTCTCATTTATTGAACTATATAATTGTTAAGTGGATCAGGCTAGTATGCACCACCTGATTTGAACTTTGTTCTGATCAAAAGTCGTATTATTCTTTATACTGTATTTAATGGTCACTGATCGTTTTCATTTGCATCAACATTATAAAATAACGTTGATTGAGTTGATCAGCTTTAACGAGCACTGCTTGTGAACACAACTGATGTTGCACAAACATCCGAATGAAGGTTTGTATTTACATTAATAGATTTTTGAATAACATTGTTTTGAATAATAAAGTTAAACTAATTGAATGATATAATCACTTTACGATAATTGGTTGACGTTTGTAAAGGACACTTTAATGTCGCTCGAAAATCGTGTATTAATTATACTTTAGCCACTGGTTTTAGTTGTTTGATAGGAGATCACTATTTGAAACGGAAATAATCGTGAATATTGAGTTACATAACACAATTTGATATACTATTTATTGCTACCAGAAATACAATCATAAATGTGACTTATTGAGTCGACTATTCTCCTATTTCGACATGATTCTGTTGAATAAACTCCTAGAATGTTCAGATATTCAACTAATAAATGTTCAATTGATTTCATGTATGAATATATCAAATATATCGTTCTCTCATACTTCTCAACCTTTT